TATTTGATGAAGATTATGGTATTGCTAAACGTGATAAAAGGGAACCGGCTGTTATGGGTCATGTTCCTGATGGAATTCCTCCACTAGCTGGAGCTATCGTAACAAGATCTAAAGCGAAACAATTACAATTAAAACAGGATCAAAATTCAACAACAACACCAACAGATAGAAATAAGATAACATTACCACCAATAGAAGAAGAAACTGATCAAATGAAAGAAGATCCATCACAAATTATTGCAAAAAATACACTGGATATAGAACTATTAAAAATTGAACAAGGAAAAGATTCGGATATTCAACACACAATTGCAGAAGTTATGAAAAATCCAATTAAAAGTACTTATGAATTCAAAGATGGTTTATTATATAAGTTAATGATTATGCGTGAAGGTTGTAATACGAAGAAAAAATTGATTTATTTGCCTTCATCTATGATTAACGATCTTTTACAAGTTTATCATAGTGACCCTCTTAGTGGTCATTTTGGAGTCCAACGAACATATTTGAAAATTAAAAATAAATATTGGTGGCCGAATATGAAGCAATCTATTACACAATATATACAATCATGTTTACCTTGTCAACAATATAACATTAGTAGATCGAAGAAACCTGGTCGATTACAACCAATCCCATCACCTGAAGGACCATTTCAATTAATCGGTATGGATTATTGTGGTCCATTTAAACAAACTCCACGTGGTAATCAATATGTACTATGCCTTACGGATTATTTCACAAGATGGGTGGTTGCTGCTGCTGTACCTGATTGCTCAGCTCAGACTACCGCTGAAGCATTATTTAATGACTACATTTGCAAGTATGGGGTACCGGCAGTCATATTATCCGATCAAGGAACGCACTTTCATAATCAATTAATGGAAGCAATGTCGAAATTGATTGGATATAATCATACTTATTCAACCACATACCATCCTCAATCAAATGGAATGATAGAAAGGTTCAACGCAACGTTTGTACCTCAAATTGCTAAACTTCAAGACAAAGAGAACAATAATTGGGATGAATTTCTGTCACCTGTAGTATTTGCATATAATACAGGAACACATTCAACAACTCAGTATTCACCATTTCAATTATTATATGGTCGAGAACCAAGATTACCTACTGATGGAAAAAAATCATCATTTACATTTCGAAAACCAAATGATTATTATGAGCAATTAAAGAAAAGTATGAAATTGATACATGGATATGCTCGTGAAAATATTATTCGTAAACAACATCAATATAAGACTCAATATGATAAACGACGTCCTGATCCTCATTATACAATTAATGATCGTGTTTTAGTCAGAAGACATGGATTAAAATATAAATTAGAACCAAAATTTTCAATTACACCACAAATTATTATTCGTGCACAACATCCTGTTTACGTTGTTCGAGATGAAATAACTCAAATTGAAACACAAGTGCACATAAATGATATTAGACCCATTTATGTTTCAAAATTAAATTAATAAAAAAAAAAAAAAAAATTTTAAATAAAACAAAAATCAACAACATTAAACTCCTCAATATTTTTATCAAACTCCTTATCAATATTTTTTTATTAGTATTTTTATCATTATTAATATTATCTATTTATTGATAAATATTTCTTATTGATTTTGGAAATGGATTATGTTTATGATGATTATGTTAAACCAAATTAAACGTATGCGCAACGGTTAATATGGAATAACATTTATCATCTATGAATTGGATTAATTGATATTTTAATATGCGCGCATTAAAAAATCAATTTTATTATCAAATCCAAATGGAAAATTAATAATGACAAGATTTACAATTATATAAAAAAAAAAAAAAAAAAAAAGAAATGATGAGTCATCAATGGAAACTTTCTTTAAAGGATTATTTCTGAACGAAACCAATCATATTAGGTGATAAATTCGTCCTTATGTTAACGATATCTGTGATCAATATTACGTAACAAGTGAATTTTGTTTAAATGGATGACCAATGGCTATTGGTCAATAACGTCTTCAAATGAATATCCTTTATTTTATTTATTATTTACTGATTATTCAACTCCTTGAATTATGATCATCATCATCAATTGGTTATTTACTTGCACTTTCTAATACATCATTTATTTATTCTCGATTCGGTTCTACACTTACTTAAATTAAAACACTTATATACAAGTCATCATGGACATGGTTATTGTGAACCAAAGATTGAAGGAAATTTATCCTGCATTTGTTATTCCAGAAACAAGTTATGAAGTTATACTTGTCAACCGATACATGTCAACGGAAGTTATGGACAAAGTGTTAAATCACATTAATGATTGTTATCAATATTCAGTAGATACTGAAAGTGAAATATCAAACCATGAATTATCTATTATACAATTTCATACAATTCCTCGTACATTACCATCACAAGTACTTATTATCGAACTATCACAATTACCAAATCGGGACTCTCACTTGTATGTAAAAATTAAAGAAATTTTTAAATTAATTTTTAGATCACGTAATGAAATATACTCATGGGGGGACATGAACCTCGAACTTGAATCAGCAAATTATTTATTCGCATGGCCAATAAAATCAGAATTAATTAACCTTCAGCCGCACTTTCCTGGTTGGTATGAGGGGGCTCGGACTCAATGTAGGGTCCAGAGCCTGGAACAACAGGCGATGGAGAATAATGATAGCACAGCTGATCAACGAAAATTGTCAACATCGTCTTGTACATGTCATCGTCCAAGTCCATACAATGAACAGCAGCTCTGGTCATTACAGAAAGCATTTTTATATAGCTTTAATTTATTTATAGATAAAACAAGTACCATGTCACATTGGTCATATGGCCTATCTTCAATTGGTTCATCATTAACACATGCACAACGTACAAAAATGATAAATTATGCTAAATACGACGTGATGGCGGTAACTTATCTCATCAGACCAATTACTGAACAATGGTCGTTTACAAGAACAAAAGAATCAAGCATTGAAGAAATGTTTATTACATTTCAATCAACACGACCACCACCATTACGTCAACAAAAATCGAAAAAGAAGAAAAAAAATATTAATATTCAAAAATTGTCGAAAATATTTACATCCATTCAGGATCCTGATTATGAATTAATTTCATCAGATGATGAGATATATTTAAATCAATTAATTGAACCAAATGATTATAAAAATGAACAAGATAATAATAATAATAATAATAATAATAATAATAATAATAATAAAATTAATTTATTACAAGATCAAATCGAACCAATTGATGCTGATTATATACTAATTATTAATGATGATGAACCAATTGAACAAATTCAACAACAAGAACCTGAACCAGTTAATGATAATTTATTAAATGATGATAGAGATGAACCAGCACCAACGAAACGATACACAAAGAATCAACAACGATCCGTACAAGCCCGACATAGAAAAAATCATCGAAGAAATAGGGCACTTAAAAAGAGACGTTATTATTATTCAATTAAACGTAAATGGTATCCTTATTTTCCAAAGCGAACAATCCGGAAAATTCTTCGTATATATAATATTAATTATACACATGTTAGAGAAGATGGTGAAAATTTATTAATTGGACTGAAAAACCAACAAAGTGAAAATATAGCTGAACATCAACTACCAAGGAACATATTCAACAGACAGAGTTATTTTTATTATCGAAAATTATTTCGACGTTAGTGTTCCTGTTGTTGGTAATATATTTTTTTTATTGTTGGTATAATATATATATATATATATATTTTTTCTTTCTTTCTTGTCGTTCACTTTCTTTTATATTGTTATATCCTAGTCAGTTTCTTTTTCTCATATTGTTGTTACTATTTTTGTTGTTATATTTTCTCATAAAAAAGTATTTTTGTATTCAAAAAACTTTTTCTTGGGGGGTAAGGGTGTTATATCCTGCCATCTATTCATACAGTTATAACTCTTTCGTGTTCGTGATTGTCTCTTTCTTTTCTTGTATTCTTTTTGTTATATATATATTTTTGTGAAAGAGAAATAAAAACGGTCAGTTATGCTTCAATAAAAATGAACTCGAACGTCCTTAAGATTCAGTGCAAATCAAAGCATAACATTCATGTTCATGCAAAATTTGAATTCGGAAGTCGATCTTTCATATGACTTGAGTAGGACTACAGGTTTCTATTGAAAAACAACGAAGGTTCAAAAAACGAAACTATTCTGAACTTTTCTATTACTCATTGAATGAACATCGTCTCACTCGAAAAACATATTGTTGTTTCAAGTTGAATTTTTATTCGCTCTATTTTGATTGATATGATCTATTTGCCAAAAGAATTCAACAATATTTTTTCAATTTCGACTTCATTTATCTCTTTTTTTAGGATCCACTTACGAAAGCTGTTCGTCATTTGGATTCGTCGTCATTTATACAAACCATTCAAGAACGTAAGTTCGTTGAAAATTACCTTTAATTCTTTCATTTGATTTCTATACTTTTACAATGAATGTATAAACTGATAAAGAAATGACTATCTTTGTTTTCTCAAAACAGAAAACTTCATATGTTATTATCCTTTTTTGTTTCTTGTCGATGATTAATCTACTTTTCGGAATAATCTTCTAGATTACCATTTTTGTTCGTAGTATTTTTTTTTCTTTGTGTAGTGATCAGATGTGATGCAAAATAAGAACTGATAATTGAAAGAAGAAAACAATGCATTTTTATGACAAATGAATGACTCATCTTTTATAGTATATGAAAAACTTTAGACTACTGTAGAAGCATCCGTTGAAGAAATCGATTCTAATCGATCGTCAGAAGAAGTTGAGAAAGCTTTGAATCAATGAATCAAAATCGAATGAAAACAGGTAAGAAATGATTCATGTATTGTATCTGATATTATGTTTTTGTGAAACACGATCTGAAATGAATGTTGAAATATAAAACATTTGTGTAACTGAAACGATTTTCTATAAGTAGTAGTAGATTCAAAGACTTCAACAGAACTGCTTGGATTAAGATCTTCGGAAAACATTTTATTTGATTGCGCAAAATAGGGTGTCATCAATTTCTCCATGTACTTCCTTCATTGACTTGTTTTCGATTTACGGAGAGCCTGAAAGACAGTTCGATGAAGGAAGTTCATGAAGAGGTCGGAGACATCTCATTTTGCTCTGTCCAATAAAAATTTCTCTCAAAACCTTTGAACAGATACGAGAAATTTGGTTTTGACCGTCTTGATTTTCCTTAAGTCCTCATTCAAGTGATTATGTTGAGGCCTTCGCGCCTAGTAATCCTGATGAAGAAGGCTTTTAGCTGCACAAATGTGTTTTTAAGATATAGCTACTATAAACTTACTCGTCTTGTGATAAATATTTTAATTTATATAAAAAAATTTATAGATGGCTTCAATAATAACGTTGAACAATTGTATTGTGATACTTGTCAACGGTGCAGAATTTGTTTGCATATTTTTTTTCTAATTTTGTATACATTCATGTATTTGAAGTTTTCTAACAGATCGTTATATAGCTGGTGCATTTTCAGATGCAGCATACAAATTTGATGATACTCGTAGTGACCAACGTGATAAGTATGCAAAATTAACTAATGGTGTTGAATACATTGATCCAAAATGTCAAATTTGTCATAGTATACTATCAATTAGAAAATCCGAACATTTATTTCATGTCAATTAGAGAGATTTTAAGAGTAAAAGAAAATTGTCAATTTACACATGATTAGAATTTCTTTATCAAGTTATGGTTTTTTTTTTTCGTTAAATTTCTCGAATATTGGTCAGTCTATGGTCAATTGATCCTAGTCTTCAATAATTTATCCAAGACTACATAGTATAGAGGAGAATGGCGTCTAGATTCGAACCTACTTGCTTTCACACACATGATGACATTCATAGTCACTCATCCATGGTGGCTACTCTAGACATGAGCAGTACCATGTCTAGACTCTTATAGAGATAATCCGTCTCACTTTACTGCATTTCCAATTATTAAATATTAGAATTTTCAAACTCAGCGGGGGAAAAAACAAGATTCTCTTCATTCGTACTTGAATGTCATAATAATCTATAGTTTTAATGACAAGATGGTTAGAAAAATCATAACTAACTACAGGTTCTATATGTTCGAAATGAACACTTTTAATTTATTAAGTATATTTTGATCAATTCATTTAAAATCTTCTTTGTTTAACATTAATTGTAAATCAGTTAATTTAGTAAGTTCACGAAATTCTTTTATAGTAAATGACAATATTTGAATTAGTCTGCATCAACCGACAAGTATCATATGTCATATCCGACTTTGATGAGGTGTATCAAGTACTACGATACCAGTAATATCTGTTTTAGCTAAATCTTCGATAGATAAAAGAAGAATTTTGAGTACAATCAAAATGCTCCATTTTCCAATTCTATAATAACAGCTTGATCAGTTGTACAATCAAGTTATACTCAAAATTGAGTATTTTCTAGTACACTTGTTTGAAAAATGTTTTTTTTAATAATGGATTAAAAAATATTTTGTTTTTCATTTTACTATTATACCATTCAACACAATCTTTAGTAGAAAAAAACGTTTTCTGATGTTATCTCATCAGCAATATTTAAATTACGTTTAACAGATGAACTGTAAGCAAATATTATAATAAAATTCTTGTAGTTTTTTCGCATGTTCATGTTCAGCTATTTTTGTAAATATTTGTATAAAATTTTTTACTTCAAGATGATCAGATACAACATCATTAGATCGAACAAGGTAAAAAAAATGAAAGTAATTTTTCAATAATATCAATTGTTGCTGGTATTGTGTGACGAAGTATAAGTAAAGAATTAGATGGACCACTGTCTACGATACAAATGAGTATGAATGATGAAGGTATTATAGAGTTGCTAGTAACTATTGAAAGTGATCGTCGAATAAGACAATTTACAAAACAACGTCCATGAAAATGAATAAACATTTGACAAGATATTGAAGATACTTCTACGTAGAAAATAATATGAAGAATAGTTTGTATAAAAGTTTTCAATGTCTTATTTGTAAATATTCTTTCGTAAGGTTAAATATTTATATGTAGAATAAATACTCATTCTCAAATTTCCTAGTAAAGTTCTTATAACGCTCGTTTATAGTTTACACGGTAAGAAAAAAATTTCTTGAATATTTAAATTCGAAGAAGAATGAATGTAAAGTCACGAAACTGTGAAGATATTAAAGAACAATTTTTATTTTGCTCTACGAATGAATCTTCTCTTATTTACAACATTGATTACGAGTATAAAATAAAAATTTTGCATTCAATTCTTCTGAAATGTTTATATGCAATTAAAAATAAAAACATTTCAATTTTTAGTCTTTTGTCATTCTTCAATCTTATGAACATATCTTCTTTTCACCTTGAATATACAACAATAATAGAGAAAAAAAAGGCGCAATTTTATTTCTGAATTTGTTGTTTTTTTTCTTCAATCATAGGTCACTTGCTTGTATTTAATTGTGAATCAGATGGTATATATTCTTTTTTTTTCTTTAAAATAGATAGATGAAAGATTAATATCTTCATCAGCAATTGCGATAGTTTCAATATTTACTGTTGAAGAAGGTATTAGAATTTGTGTAATTGTTCTAGGTAGTATTCATAGTCAAAAACAATCATGATAATCAGAAAATAATTGTATCAATATGAATATATGGAGTATGTGTTGAAACTTTATCTTTCGATGAATTATGCTTTGTTAATGCATCCATAAATAAATATTAATGATGGATTTTAATTAAAAAATTTAAAAGAAACAAATAAGATGACGGAGAACAAGCAAGTCTATCTAAGATTATTTTCTTTTACATGAACTACAATTTTCATCGAGAGCTTTGCCAAAATGATGAACAACAGCTAACTAAACAATAAAAAAGAATACAAATCTGAATTTCGATGATCAAGAATCAAGGTATAAGTTTTTATTTACAATCAGATTCAATAGTATTCCATTAGTAAGTCTTCAGATGAACTAAATTTTTCGATGCAATGCCATACAAACTGTAATATAAAGAATCGTCAGTATAATTTTAAATCGAAACGACTTTTTAACATAATAATTAACCAACTAGTTCGTTCAAAAAAAGTCTGTTATTGAAGTTCTACAAATATATACAACTTGAAAGTGATATAACTCTCGAAATTTCTAATAGTAACAAGTTGTATTTTAGTCTGTCATGTTCTATGTATGATAATACTAAGAAAGATGGAAGAACTCTTTTAAAAATTTGTCATATAGTAACACTCAAGGATTGACAAATTTGATCTAAGATCTTATATGAAATCATTTCTTAACATAATTGAAAGACTTCTTGATTCGTGAAAGGATACTACTCTTCATAATATCATAAAATGATCTGTAAAGTTCGGTTTTATACTAGGCCTCATATTTTTAGATTTCCTAATATCTAGATAGTTTCACAGTTGCATCATGCTAATGGTTCGCATAACTATTTCAGTGGAACAGATTCTTTTCTAATATTTTTGCATCGAAAGGTCAGGAGTTTTTAATAGTCGGTTAAATGTAGTTCAGAAAGTGAGCTTGAAATTTTAAACTATCTAATGACTAGCTAACTTTTTGTGACTATAATCAATACATTCATCCTGATCTGTGATCATTATTGTACTATGATAAAGAGTGAGTTCAAAATTTAGAGCTAGGATTTTGATGAAAAGTAAAATAGACTAGCTTCAGTACCCTTAAAATTGATAAAAAACCGGTGACAACCAATCGGGTTTTAAAGTTCAACCGAAACATATGACACGACTTGAAAATGAAATGTTATTGTACTGTGATACTAAATCTTACTTAATCCTTTACTTCCAGCACTCATCCAATAGCTTCAGTGTTGAGACAACCATTAGGATAGTTTCTACAAATGCTATTTATGATATCCATGTAGTTAAATTTAGGCCAAGTCATTTCACTGTGGAGATGTAGAATAGGTCTACAATGACTCATTTGTTTTGAATGACACAAAAATTGGATTTATTGTTAAATTGACTTTTTCACAGTTATCCTGGTATTTAATCTGTATAAAGTTGAAAGCTTACTTATCATAAACTATTTTTTGAAAAATGACTCATTTCGAAGGATGATATATGATGACTGATTCCAATCCGAAATCACTCAGTCCTATTGTTAAAGTCTCATCGGGAAGGAAGACCATAACAGAAGCTGCAAGTTTCTATCTTTTATCGTTCTCATAAAGTGTTTATCATGAAAATCGTTTTATTTTATGAGTTTGTATTGAAGATAACATAACTTTGGAAAAATCGTTTTTTATGTTACTCATTATGAATGGATAAAAAATGACCCAAATTGTCATGAAAAACATTGCTTTTATATCTATAATTAAGAAAATTTTAAAAACTATCCTGCAAATAGATTATGCTCATAGTATTAATAATGCACCAGCCCCATAAACATCAGAATAATCAGTCTGTGTAACTAAATAAAATAGATCCTTTTCATTTTCTTGAGAAAATACCATTTTTCAACTCATATATCTGAACCAAGAAATGATGAAAAGAAGTTTAATTTTTTTCGAATTTGTAGCTGATAAAAACTTTGCACAATGTTTTGAAATCATCATATCGATGCAATGGTTTAGTTAATCAACATCAAATATTCTCTAATATGAAGAAATGTTTCACAAGAACAATACCTATATCATTTCTTTCGAACGTTCTATAACATATAAAATATGCCTTTAACAATCATTTTGTTTTTCATTTGATTACATGCATTCATTTGGTCCTTCACGAAAATATCTTTGGATAATATATACAAGATTGGATCTTGTCAGTGAACAAGTCTATATTCAATATCGATTGCATTTAACTATGAGAAACCAAGAAAAATTTCAATAAAATGAATTCATTTGAGTGTGCTATTACTTCAATTCGAAGATTTTTTATATAAATTTGTTTATTTAAATCCAATCGATTATAAAATAGATTTCCTGTTTGATAAAAATCATTCTAATTAAAAGATTAAGAAGACTTTCTAGAGGTTTATTTCAAAATTTAAGACTTTTATTTTGTTCAAAAAAACTTTATTTATCCTTTGATAAATCCATCTAAGGAATCAATGAAGCATTAAAAAACCAAATAACGATCACATACATATGTTGAAATTCGGTTTTTTTCTGTCCTCCTCACTTTCCAAGAAAAAACAAGACAAAAAAGGCATTATTCTACGAAATCTGTTTTGTTCTTTATTTAATTATGATTAAAGATAAGAGAACTTGACGACGACGTTTAGTTGAACCACATTTGCAATCCATTCGACAGCCAGCTATTTTATCTACTGTATAATGATAATCCCAATTAAAAATGAATGAGCAAAACAATGGTAATACGTAAACAAAACTGACGCAAAACTGATCGATCTCTTTAAATAAAAATTTGTAAGAATTATATATCTTCTTTTTTCCACGGCTCCATGAATAAGATTTAAATAATTTGTTCGAATTAATTTTTCATTTAACATACACTTACTAGATATCGAAGAAAAATCATCTAGTCTCCAAGGGCATGGAGTTATTAAGAAAAGGTATAAGATATATGTATTAGTCAATACAAATCGATTCCGATGCCTAGAAGTAAGACGAAAAATAACTAAATAAATCATTTTTAGTTATGAGGTTTGACTTGTCGAAAAGAAAATGACAAATTTCGAATGATGGATGTTGATACGTGTCTTCTATTTAGTCATATTCCCATCCACATCCGGAATCTGAAGTGCGTTTCTTAGAATTCATTGCCGATGTTGAATTGTGCAAATGAATCAACGAAGGCCGAACACATGTAGAAAAAGACAGTTACTATCACATTACCATGGTAATGTGACGGTAACTGCGTTTCCCTAGAAAATAATGGTATCTTGGACTTTTCTGTAAGATATTTTTTCTCATGCAACTCGGCAAGTTCTATCCAAAAATAACGAAAAAAATCTCCTGAAATTTTAATTATTGAGTACGTTCGCAGTCTAGATACGTCAACAATAGCCTATATTTTAAATTTATTAGTTTGCAAGTAAAAGCTTTAATTTGATCCGAATATATCTGATCTTATGAACTAATAAAAATCATGAAGTTGATTCTCTTTAAGAATCAAGTCGACATTGAAAGAGTATACAATAAATCTTTTGTGAATAATAAGATTAAAAAGTGAATTAACTTCTTCCCTCTTATTTATCTCATGTTGACATATTCTTTATTTCATCTAAGAACTGACGATATTGATTGTTCAATATAATGTACTTGGTGCTCAAGAGGCACCATACTTATCGAGAGTGTATGTGGGTGTGGTTATACATAGAACATACACTCACACCCACAGCCGCACCCTACCACTTTCTTAACAGCAACCTATTACACATATGTCAAGATGTTTGGTTGTCATGGACTTTTTGAATGAAATGTTACTGATGTTTAGTCTTGAAGCAATCAAATACGTGTAGCCGTTGCATGTCTTTAAGCATAGAAAAAAGTTTAAATAGTCGCGTGTAAAAAGAAAGAGAATAGAAATCGAATCGATAATGGTTACTGATTCGCTAACATCAATTTTGTAAAAGAGAACGTTTTTTTATTATTTAACCACTATATACAAAAGTATTAGAAAAAAAAATTTGATTTGCTTCACATGGAACAATATTTAAATTTAACAAGATGACAAATTCATCTCGGCCAAATACACCATGTCAAATGCAAAGACCATCATTAATTGAAGATGATGACGATTATACTAATAATAAGAATGGAAAACAATTGCTATCACGAAGTCTTACATTTTATAAGGAACCATAAACACAAAAACGAATAAAAAGACTAAGTCGACCATCACCAGCTATAATTGAACAACAACTACAGTGTTTAGGTCGAAGCTTACTTAGTAATGATAATTGGCGGCAAGAAACAATGGCTGATGTTCGTATTAATGCTAAAAACAATTGAACAAAATGATTAAAATATTCTCTTTGGCAAAGGTAATATTTTAATTAAAAATAAGCCAATATAAATATTCAATTCAGATATTGATCCTTTACCATATGTACGTGGCATGCTTAATGAATTTGAGTAATACAGAAGCTTTTCCTTATGCTCGACAATGTCGTGTTGTTGTTGGTAAATTACGTTTATGTTGGAGTGATGTTAATGACGAAATAAAATCATTATTAAAACATAAAGAATATACAGAAGCAGCTATTGAACATATTCGAAAAGACTTAATAATTAATAAAGAGAGTGTTAAAATATAAAAAAGAAACCAAAAAGAGAAGCACTAGTTTTATTTTATATTTTTAAAAGATATTTGTATTCTGATTAATAGGAATCTGATGATGTTGATGATAGACTTGCTGCAAAAAAACATCATTTAATGATAGGAACAAATTAAAAGGTCTGATAATTTCACGATAAACTATTCTCGTTAAGATTTGTCTATGACTATCGATCCAAACTCTCTTCAAACTAATGATAGCTCATTAGGTTCTGCATGATGTACATAGTTTCCACTCTAGAAGTAATTAATTAGTTGGGAAACTTGTCGCTTTTAATGAGAAAATCATATCAAATGATTTTACGTTTAATAAATCTGTTTTTTCTTTTCATTCAGAATTTTAGTCGTTATATGACGGGTGAATGTAACTATAGAGACTAATAAGTTTCTTTTTCTATTCAAAATCTCTTTATCTTTGTTTTTTTTCGTTTTTTTTAACAGTAACTGATGATTGGGATTGTCAATGTTTATGTGTTATTCTTAAAGACTTTTACAATCTACAAGTAGTTCAAATTGTTAAACATAAATTATCATCAAGCAGTTTTTATTATGTACCGACAAAATGTACTTATGAAGAATATATTGAATTTACTTAAAAATTTACTATTAACTCAAAAATTTACTATTAACTCAAAAATCTTGAAGTCTTTGATATTAATGAAAATGTTAATATATCAAAAGATTTGCAAGCGAAAAAAATACTTTCATTTAATTCAATTCTTTTATCAATAGATTCGGCAACAACAGAAGGTGATGATACAAATAAAAAAATAAAACGATATTGCTTGTGTTTTTTATTATTTAGTTGCCAAATTTTGAAAAAAAATACAATATCAATCGATTTGTTAGCCTTTGAATTTCAGATATAAAACTATTTTTCTTTCTTATATATTAATTTATTTTTATTTTTTGTTCAGGTTTTGAAAGTCACTACAAGTGAAACAGTTCAAAATGACAGTGCATATATCAATGGTCTCTTCTTTGATGATGCACGATGGAATCAAGATACATAATTTTATATAATCCTAAACAGATACAAAAAAAAAGTTAATAATGGGTACGAGAAGTGGTCGAAACTTGAAGATATATTTTTTTCTGTTCTTTTCGAATATCGAGCTCTCGAACACATTTTCACTGTTTGAAATCCATCGAAATTGTAACTACTCGAAGGAAGAGATTTCTTTGAGAAGATACTTTCAATTGTTTGATAGAATTCCGATTACTTGAAACTCATCGAAATATCGAGTGCTTGACAAGAGTAAACCTATCGAACAAATAGTGTCGAATGTTCATTTTTCTGTTGATCGATGAAAACTTTAGCATTCAGTTTTTGAATAGATTTTCATTGTTGTTCCATTATTCCATAGGAGGAGATTTTGTTTTATTAGATGATTTTATGTAGTTTCATGATTTAAACAAAATTATTCATCAATTCCAACTAAAACCATAACAGAAATATGTGAGTGTGTGCATTTATGGTAAAAAAGTAATTATAATAGTCTTAGTTTTTTTTTTAAATTAAAAGGGAGCAGTTAATGAGATTTATCATTGTTCTAGTTTCACTATTTCGTTCATTATTTTTTTTTAATATTCAGATTAATTATAATATAATTTTTATATATATATTTCATGAAGACATGTGGATTTATCTAAGATTAAAACGTCATGTTTAGTTCATCTGATCTATAAAAACTTCTTAATCGTAAGAACATATGTGCGAATTTTCTATTCTACAAAAATATTCGTTAGGTATCGAAAGATCAGAAAAAAATAGGATGCAGAAAACAAAAATCTTTTTGAAAATTTGTAAAAACTTCGAATACTCAGAATATCGACTACTCGAAATCTTGCTAATTTGACTTATCGAAATTCATCGATGATGGGTACGTCAAGGACATCGAATTTCTAGATCGATCCTTCGAAATGCTACTTTCAGATAGGTCAACAATTTTCAATTTTATTAATCTATCGGAAGGTTCAATTCGACATATCGAAATACTCATCGAGTAATAGCTTGAGATTCTTTTTTTTTATCTAAAGATTTACTTGATGAACAATTTCCAAAAATTCTGTACTAATTATTTGGATAAAACTAATTAAAACAAATAAATTAAATACCGATGGAACATATGAATGTACAGTATATAAAACAAGTGAACGATGTGACGTACTTTCAACAACGAGTCATTCAACAAATTTCGTTATGCCTGTTTATTTATCAACAAATCAATTAAAATAATGTTAAATAAAACATGGTGTTGCATTACTTTGCCAACTTCATGATTAAGAGAAAAAAAACACCTAAATTAAATTCACCTTTTTTATCCTTATATACATTAATATCAATTTTCTCTATCTCGATCTCTTTCAAAGAAAAGGAAGAATTCATGATAACTTTAGTGTTTGTCGTTTTTGATTTAATTACTTCTACAGTTGATTGTCGTTTTGATTGAAAACAATTTTGTACTTGTCGTAATTCAATTTCGATTATTTCATCAAGTAATTCTAAATGTTGTTCGATTTGTTTCAGCAGAAAATTGTTCAATTGTCTAAAGCGAAATAAAACAAACAAATAGATATAAATTTTAATATTGAATAAGTAATCCATAATTGTTGAAAATGATCACCATTTTTATTAGCTGTTGTTCGTTTTGAAGTTAAATTTGAATTTGAAAATGGAACTTTTATATTAGATGGTGATTGTTTATTCGTAATCTAATAAACTAATTCAATGGAGAATATATAGGATCTTGAATTTCATACGAACGATACAAGTCCTAATTTCAGGATTTTCATGGGAATCTAGACTTACAGTCTCAATAAAGTCTGTAGGATTCAGAGTTAGAGTGGACTCGATGATTTCCATGTTGATATTGATAATGATGATCACATATAGGTAATAGAGTTCAGCATACTTTTATTTCTATTTTGTTAAATAAATTAAATTTATTCTATGTATCGAATGTTGCCTCACATCTAAATCCTTCTAGGATTGACTTGATGGACTCTAATCAAGACTAGTTTTAGAGCTTTGGCCATCCAAATCAATAATTTCAAGAGAAGATAAAACGATTAAATCTATATTATGAAAACACTAATAGATTTTGATTAATAATCATCTGATATGATGATTCTAATGATAATTTACTCATTGTATAACAACTACATAATTGAAATGTATCTGTTTCTATATCTTGTCGATTAGTATTGTAGATTTATTACATGTTTTTGAATTTCTCGAACTTTATCAATCATTCATCGTAAAACATTGATATCTTTAGCGCATTACGAATCAATTGATGCTAATAGAAAATGAAAAATGAAAAAGAAATTATGAAGAAATAGAATAAACTAAAAATTCTTTTGGATAATTCGATTGCTTTTGATCGGGCATCAGAATTTTTTACAAGACGTTTTCAAAAAAAAAATCATTTAAAGCTGATAATCATCGTGATATATCTTTCGATGTTGAAAGTAGTCGTGATAGAATGATAAAAATAGCCTAAATAATAAAGTTTTGCTAAAACACCATATCTGATTTGTTGAATGACTTCCAGTACTATCCTAATCAAATATTTTATTTTCATATTCTTCTTGTAAAAATTTCCAATTCTTACCAAAATGATGTTTCTAAAATAAATCCATTTCAATTAAACAACAATAATAATTATTTTGAAATATTTACCAATCACTGTATTTCGTTTTGTCATTGTATTCTATACTAAAAAAAAACAAAAAAATAATTATTTCATTAAAATTTACTGTTAATTGTCCTGCAACATCAAAATCAGCTAATTTAGACTGACCATTATTTGTAAAAGGAATATTTTGCGCTTTAATTTCTCGATGAATTTTACTATATAAATGTAAATATTCGAATTCTTTAAGTCTATATTTTAATATAACAACTATTTCTTATTAATTTAACTACGTAAATTAATAAAAACTAAAAAAAACACGAAATTAATTGGATTTTTATTTTCTATCTTGTTTTATTGCTAAAAGAAAATATCCTATTTCTCAATATTTTGTTTTATATATGCAGATCAATATGATCTATATTATTAAAATAAAAAATATCGAATGAATATTTTTATTGTCTAGTTGATTGACCTTTTTCTATTTTACATACAATATTCAAAATATTTTCATCTGTTAAACGTTCCAATATTTTAGTCATATTTAATTATCCAAAAAATACAAAAATATAATTTATCTTCTATTATTTTTTTAATATAATAATAAAAGATAGATATAATCATTTTTCATAAAATTTTCATCAAGTAATTGTCCTAAATACTGGCATATTTTTTCTTATATATGTCACAAATGTAACAAGACGTTCACAAGTAGAGTTAGTTGAAAATGATAAAAAATGTTTCCATATAGCAGCAGCAGCTAATACAGTATCATCGTCAACAAGATTTTCATCTAATACAAATATAAATGTATTTATTTCAGAATATAATTCTTCTGATTGATTACAATGAGTTTTACTTTGACTGGAAAGAATTTGTTGAGCATGTAAATCAAGATCTATTCATATTGTACGTGCTAATTGATGACGAAAAAATACATCAGTTGGACCTATAAAAATAAATTTTAGTAATTGAAAAACGTCAATTTTATTGATATCAATTGAATGAAATAATAAGCCAAGAATCAACTTTTGAGAAATTTCTATTAATGAGATTTGTGTTTGACTGCATAATATAGTTATTCTACTTTCTTTTGAGATTCCAACAAAATCTAGAAAAATCTCAACTAATTGAACATAAAGAACAAGTAAAAACTAAACATTTAGAAAGACATTTCTTCCAAATGATGCAAAAACATCTGCCATATCAAGTTCGTATTGTATTCCATCAAAATCAACTGATGAATCAATCATATAATATGATACTGCTTGATACAAAACTTTTTATCGTTCACATAATTTTCCTTGTAAATCAAGTTTTATTTTTATTTTTTGCACTAAACTTGGCACATAAATTTGTGGGAGATCTTTCCTAGAGCTAGTTTTTATATGTCACGTGGATGCTGAGCTACTCTAGATACATTGAAAAAATCAGTCTTAGAGATCGTTATTCAGAGAAGTTATAAGTCAAAATAAACTAGCGTTAGAGACGTTAGGCAAAAAAGAACATAGGTTTTCATTGCATGCATTTCAGTTTCAAAAACCCACGCACTGAGGCAGAATTTTTACAAACTAAGCGGTACATTTTGTATACGACTCTTAACACTACAGAATCTCTATTCAAAGTTTTTCTTGAGCATGTTTAGACTTTTCAAAAATGATTCGACTTACTTTTCGTTAGGGACGTGACGAAGTACGAATCTGGAAATGAAAAGATGTTCTTAGAATTGAACGAAAAGTTCAAAATAAATTCATACCTGTACAAATTCTTCTTCACAGTTCTCAAATGATAGTAAGATAGAAATTTTGTCTTGAAATTTGATGAGATCTCTAGAAAATCGATTTTGTAAAAGAAGAATTTTCCGAGTCTTATCTTACTGAAAATTTCATCATAGATGTAGTTCATACTGTACATTCTATCCCGAAATTTTTGGATTTTTTTCTCATATTCTTAAAGAAATATTAACTAATTACTTCTTTATTAACCATCAGCTGAAAGCGTCAATATTTTTACATGTCTATACTAATAGATTTTATTCAGAACAAAAAAATACTCTGATAAAGAATCAAAGTCAAATAAACTCACATAATTTATTTGATTACAAAAACCAAATATTAACATCTATAAAATTCATATTATATTATATTATTTTTAAACTGACAAAAACAAATTATTCATTATATATAAACAATTGAAGTGAATAGTGCATATTACATACATGAAATTGCGAAAAGAAAAGTATAAGAAAAAAAAAGAGATACTGTATTCCTGAAAAAGACTCGTTTTGAATTTGTATTATTGATTCTATTTATTGATAAATTGGACAGATCAATTAGTCATTTTTTACATATTGATGGAATATTACGTTATCATATTATTTCCATTTAAATAAAAATTTTTTAAAATAAATAAAACAAATTTATTTGAAAATCTTTTCATTTTTTTATCATTTTCATCAATTTGTTTACGTAATAATTATATATATATAACATTCTTTCATTGCATTTATTTCAAATGTTTTTATTGATAGAATTTTATTTTTTTCTATTAATTGTTTTTCTAAATAGTTTTTATTTATTTAAATAAAAAGAAAATTTTTATATTTATCAGTTATATCTAATCGTTTTTGTAATTCATCAATTTGATCTTTTGTTCGTGTATTTTGTATCTTTAAGTGTTGTTTATAATTTAAAAATTTTTTTATTCCACATTCTAAAAAGAAACAAAGATTTTCATGAAATAGAATAATAAATAAATAAATAAAATGTTCTTTAAAAGATATATACTATAAGAGTAAAATATGATTATGTGCAATAGAATTGGAAATAAGATCTATAGGTGGATAAAATATGTAAAAAAATAATACTTAATTATTATTATGATCATATAAAGCTCTTTACCAGAATTTGATTGATATCAACAAATATTTGTAAATATTCAAGTTGAATTATTTCATTTAATTTCGATAAATTATTCTATGATATTAAACCAAGATTTTTTTCAAGTAATGAATTAACACCAAGTTTAAGTAAATGACAAATACATCTAAATTAGAAAAGATTATAATTTATGTTTAATTAATTCGAAAGATTTTACTCTATCTAACCATTATTAGATTTCAGATAGATGAAAACATGTATTTCTATCAATCATTTGATTACTTGGATTAGATCGAAGTTTAAGAAACTTCAATAATCAATTTAATATATGTGTCTCCTTTTTCAGTAACTCTAAAAAAGGATTGAATCGGAATGTGAAGATGATGATGATGATGATGATGATGATGATGGTATAGAATTTAAATCGCTTTTGTTTGTGTAGGATTGATAAATCGGCAACGTCTGTTGGAGATATAACACGATTTTCAGCAACTAAAAATGAATAAATAGAAATAAAACATAAAAAGGTTTTATCAAGAAGATATGATTAACATTATTAGTATATATATTAGAAGCGCAAGAAAAATCTCAGTGATAAATATGCACACAAATACAAAAAGCATTCCAGGTAACCGGTTTTCGATCTTGGACGCATCCCTGAGCGTCTATGATTTAGGCAACTTGATGCGTTGGAATGCATCAAGAATGCAACATTTTCCGATCTCTGAACGTGTTTACAGTGGGCAAACAACAATTTCAGAGGTGTGAACGCATTCAAAAACTGAAACACGTCCAAACTCGTCTATCTTGCAGACGAATTACGACGTGTTTTCGGATTTTGCTGCATTTGGATGCAGTAGGACATGAACGCATCGTGACACGTTTATTTTTTGTCCCTCAAAAGATTCAAAAATAACCATCGTTCTGTGTCGGAATCGAACCGACGCATCATAGCCAGTTATGGTATAATACTCAAATCCTATGAGCAACAAAATGGTAATTTTTTCAATCACATCTTGAACGAAGATTTCAATACAAGATCAGTCGATCACGAACCGAATACAACCAACTCTGAGCTAAAGACAGCTCGAACTTGTTTCTATGTTCATTAATCGCATCATTAGCTCGCATAACATTACTTGTTACAACTTTGCGAATAGACCTAGGGTGTGAGTGTGGGTAGGGATAAAGAGAATTGAACACCCACACCCAAAATCGCGTTATAGACTGCGTTCAATCTTTAAACTTTGATAAAACTTTGTCGACATAAATACAGATGTTTCCATGTTATATCTCTCTAACAATTAGATTTTAGAGATAATTTTTCTTTACTCTGGTAGAGTTAAAACCCGATGTTGCGCAAGTCACTTAAAAAAGAAACTTGCTAATCCATTGATTGTCTGAAAAAATCTAATGTTTTCTTTGTGTTAGAGGGAAGAAAACATCCTTGTCGAAATTTGACCAACTGAGATAAATAATATGAAAGCCTATGTTATCATGAACGTTGAGAAACTTTGCACGAAGCTTTCAAAATAGTCACTGATATAAAACAAGTAGAATTAAAAGAAAGAGATCTATTATTTTGTAGATATCATTGACGTATGTTGTCGACAAGACATCTATTCATTCAATTAAAGTAGCAGATACTTGTCTCTTATTTGTTGGTATGTTTTATTTTCTTCAGGTTTTGATAAGATAAAATTTATTAAACGAAAACGAAAGAAAAATAAAAGATGTACAGGTGAATATGTGTAATCGATAATTATTTATAAACTATTAAAAGTATTAAACAGATGAATTCGATGAAAATAAAAATCAACTCATTTTGTTTGAATTTAAAAATAAGAAAACTAATTAAATAATATTTTTTTTTCTACAAAAGAACAATCGATTTGAAATGTAATAAAAATATGAATTTATATTAAAACCATTAATTACCTGATATCGATCATATGAATCAATGATAACATTGAGTCTTGTGCAGACATTTAAACATGAAATAAAAAGTGTTTTTTCACTAACATTATCGAGAATTTTATAAACTAAATCAATCGGTAATGTTAGCAACGACTGAGTTATTTTATTACAGACTGGTTTTGTTGTTGTCGACACATACAAGTTTCACTTAAATATCTGTGTGCTTTGATATACTTTTGTATTTATTATATATTCTATTGTCTATGATGTCTCATTGAATTTTATTTTTATGATGAGGTAATTTTTTATCTTTCTATGTAACTAAAAAGCTGTGATAAGAACAATATAAGAGATGTTTTGAAAGAAGCAATTACTTTTCATCCTAGAAAGAGACAGACTTAAGATTTTTGAAAAAAAAATAAATAGAAACTCTACGGGTGAGCATTATATTGACATATTCTTAATTTAAAGAGAAAAAGAAGTAAATACTATTCGCATCAAACATCAGGTAATTCTTAGTTGAATACTTTTAATTCTTTTGTCTTATTGAACATAACCTAGAATATATTTCAATCTAATCTTACTTAAGAATAAACGGTATCTTTCTTTAATCAATTAATTGCTTGTTTCTTATTTAAATAAGATACTTCTTCCAGTTATTCCTATCATTTTTCAGAATGTAACGAAAATCTTAATCTAACTTGAACTTCTGATGACAATATCTGTCATAACAAGGATTAACAACAAAAATTTAATCGTTCGTTACTATTGTGGGCTCCAAGTGGAGTCAATTCTCATATTTTCGTGTAAAACTACATTAACGTTTGTTGTTTTTGATCACTCCTGTTGTCTTGTATCTCGATTCTTTCTATTGTACGTATAATATCACGATCTAACAGAAATAAAAAAAACAGATGTAGTTTGAGGTGAATCTCTCAAAAGATATCCTGTTATAGACAACGGTTTCGATCTTTCTGAATCTGTCTTAAAAGTAAAATTTGCATTAGTGATTGTCAATTATGAAGTTCTTTCGAAAAGTATGTTAGATTTTTATGAAAACTATTATTTTAACGAGCGAAAAGAAGATCTGATGTGTCTCTATCACGGTCTCGAGGATAAAATCGACTAACATGTGAATAATTACGGACAAAATGTATGTGTTTTTCATTTTAGCAAAGTTATAGTGATGAAACAAATGCATACAAGATGAAATGGAAATAAGATCATATTAATCATCAAATTAATTTTTTTAAAAGTTTTTTAATCATGGAAAAAAGAATGCAATGAAACTATAGATAAACAACAAGAAAATTCTTTTAACATCTTATTTGTCAAGAGTGCATTGCTATCGTTCTAGACTGAGTGATGGAATTTAGTGTCTGTTTAGTATCACAAACACTTTCAGTCAATATTTTTCCGATATTTTATAGTCTTATATTTTAGCTATGGACAATTTCATGTTAACCAATATAATAAGAATATCTAGAAGACTACATTATACAAGTGAATAGTTTAGATAAAAGAAAAGTATCAATTTTTTGTGAGTTTCTATGCGTAAGTCTAAGTGGACTCCACAGAAGACATGAAATTGCAAAGCCACAACAGAAATGAAAGAGTAAGCGAGATCAGTTTCCCAATATTTTTGTCAAATTTTTTTTTCAGCATTTTTTTTCATATTATGATTAAGCAAAAATGAAACAAAGATATATCAATCGATTAAGTAGAAAAGTGCCTTATCAGCTTATAAAAAAGATTTTTCCTAGAGTCTATCTTCACCTCAAAAACTTGACTTTAGTAAAAAATGACTAAAAAATCGTGAAAAAAAAATAGAATTCCTCAAATTTCATCGTATTGAAATCTATTGCTTTTTAATTCTTTTGATGACGAAAACAATGTTTTGGAATTTACTTTATTAACTACTTGAATAGGACAAATTTTTGTTTTGAAAGTAAAATCACATTCGCTTACGTTTATCATCAGGTTTTCAAATGTTGAGTCGAAAAATGTTTTTCTCTGCTATATTAATGTTTTACGATGTTTTTCATAAATAAGAGTATTTCGTTTATATCTGAATAAATGACAAGAATAATCTTTGTTTTAAAGTAAAATTATTGACATAAAACATGTCAATAATTCGATTATTTATTGATTACTCTCTCTCTTATCTTATTCTTAATATACTTTTATTGTCAATTTGCTTGAATCCATAGAAAACATATATTACATTTATTAGGTTGTTAACAAAGTTTTTGCGTTTTTTTTCAAAATTTTGTTTTTATTTTTTAACTTCAACAATACAACTAGCTTTCAGTTATATATGCACCATTACTATCTATGACTTGTCGCCAACGCTCTGGCAGAGATAGGATCCCGCGTTCGTAGAAGTCCTTGGACTTTTGACCAAAGAAGTTGACGATATCCATTTTCACGTCGTTGTCGTCGTCGAACTTTTTCTCACGCAAATGATGAGAAAGAGAACGAAACAAATGGTAGTCTGTTGGCGCCAGGTCAGGAGAATAAGGTGGATGAGGAACGGTAATCCAACGGAGCTCCGATAATTTTTCGCAGGTCGACTTTGCAACATGGGGTCGGGCATTGTCATGCAAATAGTAAATTCGATCCTGCTTTCTCTTGAGTTTTTCGGCAATTCGGTCTAACTGTTGACAATAGAGATCAGTGTTGTCGATTGTTTTTGGGAGTGGGGGGGGGGGGGCCAAAATTTCGCAGACAGTCAGTTTTTTTATAATTGGCAGACCACCAAAAAAGTTTTTTTTGAAATAAAAGAACATTACATGGTTCAATAACTTAAGGGGACCCCCCCCTTTCCCGACTCAAAATTTTTACATTTTTCGTTTTTCATTTTTTGTGATAAGTATATAGATTTAAATGCCCTCTATCCGTTGAGCACACTTTGAGAACTGAAAACCCACATCTTATATATAAAAAACTCGAAAAAAATCACAAAATATGCTGAAAAAACCCAAAACCACAAATTTCTTTGCGTTTTTTCTCGAAACTAGTTTTTTGGGTATCAAAAACCAGTTTTCCCCCTTTTTCTCCGCCATTTCAAGTCCGATCGGGCTGAAAATTATTTTGGTAACACTTCAAGTGATTTGGGTTGGATGTTTTTTTTTTTTGGATACCTTCTACCAATCAAGTTTGGCAGGCTTCGCAAAATTTTTAGGATCCAAAAAACCTAGGGATTTTGCAAAGTGCTCAGTATTTTGGTTCTCCAGCCTGAAGTATTTGGAATTTTTGAAAAAAAAAAAACATCCACCCCGATTGGGTCCGTCTACCCACAGTAAAAATTTCAGCTCAAACGGATGAAATCTGTGGATTTGCGGGGGGAAAACTTTTTGCAAATTTTTGACCTTGGGGTCTCTGGAAGTCCACGAAGATGACGTCTGGCAAATTTGTGTCTATGACAACTTTTGCTCTACTATTCGAGATCTATCTACCCTGCAAGTTTCAGGAATTTTCGTTCGGCCGTTTCTTAGAAACGCCGGAAAGGGGGGGGGGTCCCCTTAAGATAGTTTTCGATATATTTAAACTTTCAAAAAGTAAAAGCAGTCAAAAATACTCGAACTTTCGAAAAAGCTTATATTTCTATCTATACAGCAGTCATCTTCAGAATGAAGAACAGTCGTATAACATGTCTGTATATAGATAGAAAAAAAAGAATCGTTTTATTTAATCTTTTGTTCCTTTGACACTAATTTAATTACCATGAAAAGAGTAAGAAATAAAAGAGAACAATTCTTTTTTTTTATGTATATGCAGACGTGTCATATTACTGTTGCTCTTTCTGAAGATGATGATTATATAAATTGAAATATAAGTTATTGTTAATAAAATATGTTTAATGCACATTTACATTTCTGCTTCAATACCAATGCAATCACAAGTCTGAAGCAAACAACAAAACGAGATTGAACTTCATTGTGAGAAGTTCACTAGAAATTTACGAAAAATAGAGTGTATCTGAGTTTTCTGTCAAAGAAAACAACCTTGAGGCAGATTTTCTGCGAGAATTTTGATAATAGTGTCTTTTTAATGCTATTGGCTGCTTTTTTTTGGCAGACAGCAAGATAATACGGCTGATCTGTCTACTTTACTACGTCAAACCAATTAATACTCTGGTCTCACGAGAAAGATACATTCTGAAACTTATATTCTGAAGCTTTATGTCTGGATAATTTGTATAAGGACTAGCAATTTTTTTCTGTAGAAAAGTGCAGACAAATAGCGGAAAAAATTTGGCAGACAGAGTTCGAATTTTGGGGGGGGATAGCCCCCCCCATCCCCCCCCCTAATCGGACACCCTGATAGAGATCAGCAGTGATTGTACAACCATTTGGAAGAACTTCCCAGTGAATAATCCCATTGACGCCCCACCAAACGCTTAGCATCACCTTCTTGGGAGGGTGGGTGTGGGTGTGGGTGTTTGTCTTCTCTTGCCACTCACATCGACACCCACGCCCACACACACACCCACACCCACATCGAGATGCTGCAACGCTCCTACCAATCATCCATGAATTTATTTTACCGGGCACGACCATTATAAGTGATCAATGGGTAGCATATAATAGTATTTCATCTGACCCAAACAATTATGAACATAAGACTGAACCATTCAGTCAATTTTATAGATTCTGCTACATATGCCCACACTCAGAATATTGAGAATATGTGGATGTGAATAAAAAGGAGAAAGAAACAACAAATGGATCGACATAATTCATTGCTGCCCTCACACCTTGCTGAATTCATGTGGCGTCGCAAGTTTGGAGATCGGCCGTTTGAGAACTTAATAAGATGTATACGTGATTTGTATCCTGTCCTCTAGTTTTTTTTAAATAAACGTTTTTTTCTTTTTCCTTAGTACGACCTCTTTTTTTTTATAACGATCACACACTCACTCTCACGTCATCTATAATTCTTTCATTCTCACATATGACTCGTTATCGCCAATCATTTTTTTTTCCTTTCCTCCCTCTTATGATAGGGTGTGACTATTCTGAAGAAGTACCTCTATATTCATTATTGGTTAGAGTTGTAAAAACCAAGAAAAAGAAAAGTACACAATGGTAGTTGTAGGAAGAAAAGGAAGCAGTTCACCTTAGATAACTAATATACATCGACAACGTGCACTAATGGGATTCCTGTGCGATGATGTTTTACTTGAAATATTTGA